TCTCTGCCGGGTTTTGGAATCAGGATGATGTTGGTCTCATAAAATGATTTGGGAAGAATTCCCTCTTTTTGTATTGTTTGGAATAGTTTCAGAAGAAATGGTACCAGCTCCTCTTTGTATGTCTGGTAGAATTCAGCTGTGAACCCATCTGGACCTGGGCTTTTTTTGGGTGGTAAGCTCTTAATTGCTGCCTCAACTTCAGACCTTGTTATGGGTCTGTTCAGGGTTTCGGCTTCTTCCTGGTTTAGGCTTGGCAGGAGGCAAGTGTCCAGGAATTTATCCATTTCTTCCAGGTTTATTAGTTTGTGTGCATAGAGTTGTTTGTAATAATCTCTGATGATGGTTTGAATTTCTGTGGAATCTGTGGTGATATCCCCTTTATCGTTTTTTATTGCATCTATTTGGTTATTCTCTCTTTTCTTTTTTATTAATCTGGCTAGTGGTCTGTCTATTTTGTTGATCTTTTCAAAAAACCAGCTCCTGGATTTATTGATTTTTTGAAGGGTTTTTTGTGTCTCTATCTCCTTCAGTTCTGCTCTGATCTTAGCTATTTCTTGTCTTCTGCTAGACTTTGAGTTTTTTTGATCTTGTTCCTCTAGCTCTTTCAGTTTTGACAATAGGGTGTCAATTTTTGATCTCTCCTTGCTTCTCATGTGGGCACTTATTGCTATATATTTTCCTCTAGAGACTGCTTTAAATGTGTCCCAGAGATTCTGGTATGTTGTGTCTTCATTCTCGTTGGTTTCGAAGAACATCTTTATTTCTGCCTTCATTTCATTGTTTATCCAGTCAACATTAAAGAGCAAGTTGTTCAGTTTCCATGAAGCTGTGCGGTTCTGAGTTAGTTTTTGAATTCTGAGTTCTAACTTGATTGCACTGTGGTCTGAGAGACTGTTTGTTATGATTTCCGTTCTTTTGCATTTGCTGAGGAGTGATTTACTCCCAATTATGTGGTCAATTTTAGAGTAGGTGTGATGTGGTGCTGAGAAGAATGTATATTCTGTGGCTTTGGGGTGGAGAGTTCTGTAAATGTCTATTAGGTTTGCTTGGTCCAGGTCTGAGTTCAAGTCCTGGATATCCTTGTTAATTTTCTGTCTGGTTGATCTGTCTAATGTTGACAATGGGCTGTTAAAGTCTCCCACTATTATTGTGTGGGAGTCTAAGTCTCTTTGTAAGTCATTAAGAACTTGCCTTATGTATCTGGGTGCTCCTGTATTGGGTGCATATATGTTTAGGATCGTTAGCTCTTCTTGTTGCATTGATCCTTTTACCATTATGTAATGTCCCTCTTTGTCTCTTATGATCTTTGTTGCTTTAAAGTCTAATTTATCAGAGATGAGAATTGCAACTCCTGCTATTTTTTGCTCTCCATTTGCTTGGTAAATCTTCCTCCATCCCTTTATTTTGAGCCTTTGTGTATCCTTGCATGTGAGATGGGTTTCCTGGATACAGCACACCGATGGGTTTTTTCTTTTGATCCAATTTGCCAGTCTGTGTCTTTTGATTGGGGCATTTAGTCCATTTACATTTAGGGTTAATATTGTTATGTGTGAATTTGATACTGCCATTTTGGTGCTAGCTGGCTGTATTGCCCTTTAGTTGAGCTGGTACTTGTTGTTCCTTTATAAGTGTAGAGCCTCTTTCAGGAGCTCTTGTAGAGCTGGCCTGGTGGTGACAAAATCTCTGAGTACTTGCATGTTCCCAAAGGATTTTATTTTTCCTTCACTTATGAAGCTTAGTTTGGCTGGATAGGAGATTCTGGGTTGAAAGTTCTTTTCTTTAAGGATGTTGAATATTGGCCCCCATTCTCTTCTGGCTTGTAGGGTTTCTGCTGAGAGATCTGCTGTGAGTCTGATGGGCTTCCCTTTATGGGTAACCCGACCTTTCTCTCTGGCTGCCCTTAGTATTTTCTCCTTCATTTCGACCCTGGTGAATCTGACGATTATGTGCCTTGGGGTTGCTCTTCTTGACGAATATCTTTGTGGTGTTCTTTGTATTTCCTGGACTTGAATGTTTGCCTGCCTTGCTAGGTTGGGGAAGTTTTCCTGGATAATATCCTGAAGAGTATTTTCCAGCTTGGATTCATTCTCTTCGTCGCATTCGGGTACGCCTATCAAACGTAGATTAGGTCTTTTCACATAGTCCCACATTTCTTGGAGACTTTGTTCATTCCTTTTTACCCTTTTTTCTCCAGTCTTGCCTTCCCGTTTTATTTCATTGAGTTGATCTTCGACCTCTGATATCCTTTCTTCTGCTTGGTCAATTCGGCTGTTGATACTTGTGCATGCTTCACGAAGTTCTCGTGTTGCAGTTTTCAGCTCCATCAATTCACTTATATTCCTTTCTATTTTGTCCATTCTTGTTAGCATTTCGTCAAATCTTTTTTCAAGGTTCTTAGTTTCTTGGCATTTGGTTAGAACATGTTGTTTAAGTTCACAGAAGTTTCTTACTACCCACCTTCTGAAGTCTGATTCTGTCATTTCATCACACTCGTTCTCCATCCAACCTTGTTCCCTTGCTGGCGAGGAGTTGTGATCCCTTTTAGGAGGAGAGGTGTTCTGGTTTCGGGTGTTTTCATCCTTTTTGCGCCGGTTTCTTCCCATCCTTAAGGATTTATCCACCTGTCGACTTTGTAGTTGCTGGCTTTCAGATTGGGTCTCAAATCTTTCAGATTGACGTTCTGTTTGTTGATGATGAGGTTATTTCTGTTTCTTGGTTTTCCTTCTGACAGTCTGGCCCCTCTGCTGTAGGTCTGCTGAGGTTCACTCTAGGCCCTGCTTGCCTGGGGTTCACCTGCAGCAGCTGTTGAACAGCAAGGGTTGTTACCAGTTTTCTTCTTCTGCTATCTTTGTCCCAGAAGGATACCCGCCTAGTGTCAATCTGATCTCTCCTCTATGAGGTGTCTTTTTGGATATATAGGGGTCAGGGAGCTGCTTGAGGAGACGGTCTTTTCTTTATAGGAGCTCAAATGGTGAGTTGCGAGCTTTGTTGTTGTTCATTCAGAGCTGCTGGGCAGGTACTTTTAGGTCTGCTGCAGGAGAACTCATAAACTGCTTTTTGTTCCCTGGTGCTCTGTCCCAGGGATTTAGGGCTTTATTTATGAGTTTCCGTTATGCTGCCGCCTTCTTTTTTTTTTTTTCCTTCAGACTTGCGCAGCCCAGCAAAGAGGCAGCCTAGTCACTGTCGGCCTATAGCAGCTTTGCTGAGCTGCTGTGGGCTCCGCTCCGCTGCCGAGTGAGCTTCCCTGCAGTCCTGTTTATATGGGTGTAGTTAGAACTGCTTTGGCGATGGTGGCCCGCCTCTGTTGGGGCGGAGTCTCTGCTGTGGCGGGTTGCCTTGGCAACGGCGGGCTGCCTCAGCAATGGCGGGTTGCCTTGGCAACGGCGGGCTCCCTGGTAATGGCGGACGCCCCTCCCCCACAGAGCTGGACCGTCCCGGGTTCAGCTGCACTGGCTGTGAAACTCTCAATCCAGAGTTTCTGGTTGCTATTCTTTTGTGGGGGTGGGGCCAGCCGAGCCTGATCGCCTGGCTCCCTGCCTCAGAGCCTTTTTTTTAAGTTGGTGTTCCAGTCGCCTGTTGAAGAGGCACCGGGGTCTGTTTGTTTTCCCCTGCGGCCACTCACTGGGACGGCTTAAACAGCGGCACTGAGGTTTGTGGCGCTTTTTTTTTTTTTTTTCTTTTTTGGCCCTGGAATCTACTGTCTTGGTTCTCTGCTCAGTCCCCTTTTTGAACCAGTGTATGGGCGACTTCCCGTGGCTCCAATCGCCAGCCTAAAGGGCCCCCGGACCGGTGTATTTTGTACGGAGAACCGCGGCTCCGGGGCGCCGACAAAGCAGCCGCGCGGGGCAAAGCAGCGGCGCTGGCCGGCACAGCCGCGCTGGCCGCAACAGCCGCGCTGGCGACCGTGGAGCTCCTCTGCCCGGGAATTTCCTAGTCTGTGGGCAATAAAAACGCGGCGTCCACTCACCCTCTGCGCTTTCACTGGGAGCTGCAATCCTGAGCTGCCCCTAAACGGCCATCTTGGATCTCCCCCTATTTGATGTTTTTAATTATGGGCAATTAAACTTTGATTAACAAAAACTGCAATGAATATGAAAATTTATACCTATTGAGAACTGAATTCAACAAGTGATGCATGTTAACTAAAATATACAAGACTATTAAATATATATCATAAATGCATAAATGTGTGAATGACATCCACCCTGAATAAAAACATTGAAGAAAACATCAATACACACATCTCTGGATAAATACATAGCACATGAATGAATTCCCTACCCCAGCTCCCTTACTGGTTACCTTGGGAACCCAGGCAGTGGGAGGAAACAGGAGCAACTAGAGTCCCTCATCCTTCTCTTGCTTCCAGGCAGGTCCTGGATCCACTCCTGCTGTGAGGAGGACTCCCATCTCTACCTTGAGTCTGTCACCCTTAGGCTGTCTCTCAGGACTGCCTGACGTGGGTGGGGCTGAGGTTGCCTTGAGCAAGAAGTGCAGCACCCATCTGTGTGCCCCAAGACCAGCAGTCAGGAGGCATCAAGAAACAGGGTGGGGAATATCCCACCTCTTACTCATCCACTTTCCTGGTTCATTTGTTCTTCATTAATTTAGTCCACACCTCCCCAGCAGTCACTTTACGCCAGAACCCGACTGACTCAAATTCTTCAAAGTCAGAAAACCTGGAAGCACTCTCTATCCCCTCCCTGATGTCACACTTCAGCTCTGTGTCATCACATGAAGGCTCCAGCTCTTCAGGGCAGATGTTCCCCCACAGGGTCAGCCCCTGAATGTTGGCACCAGATGTCCCACCTCCATCATTTCACAGCGCTTTCTGTTCTGCTGTGAATCTGTGGGTCATCGGAAACTAGCAGGGGAAGGGAATGAGGAGGGGAGATTGTTTTCATGCCGTGTCAAGGCGTTGAGACAGACTTCTCCTTCTCCCCTGAACCTCATGCTTTATCCACTCCCAGACGCATGAAATAAAACACAGACCAGAAATGTCTATTTAAACAGTAAACATGTATAGTTTAAAATTCAGCACACATAGTAGACATGGAGTAATGCATAGGACTGTGACAGGGGGGTGAGGGGACCTCAAGGTGACAAGAAAGCTGGTCCTAGTCTCGTCAGGAGGAGTCATCACCAAGATACTCACTCATAAAGCTCACCTATGATGTTCTAATTACTGTACATGTAATATATTAAAATATAATAAAATAGGTTGGGCACAGTGGCTCATGCTTGTAATCCCAGCACTTTGGGAGGCTCATGTAGGCAGATCACCTGAGGTGGGGAGTTTGAGACCAGCCTGGCTAACATGGCGAAACCCGGTCTCTATGAAAAATACTAGAATTAGTCGGATATGGTGGTGTGGGTCCGTAATCCCAGCTACTCGGGAGGCTGAGGCACAAGAATTGCTTGAGCTGGGGAGGCAGAGGTTGCAGTGAGCTGAGATCACGCCACTGAACTCCAACCTGGGTGACAGAGTGAGACTTTGTCTCAAAAAAAACCAATTATAATAATAGATAAACAATGGAAATGATGATACCAACTAATATGGCACAGCTGCAAACACCTTATGCCTACTAACACTTCACAGCCTCTGACAACAAGAAATAAATGGTGTTATGTTCTCTGTCTCATAGGCCAGGAAACTGAGGCACCAAGAGGTAAAGTGCTGGTGAGATCCAGGCAGGGAGCTGAGTCCTAGCCGCCTGGCTGCAGAGTCTCAGTGCCCTCAGTGGAGCCAGTGGGCCTAGGAGCTGACATCAGAGGCTGAAATCCCAGCTGTGCGGCATCCCTGTGGTCTCCTGTCCCAACCACGTGTTGATCCAGGACCCGCAGGCTCACGAGCTCTGGAGAAAAGAGAGAAACCGGTGAATGCTCCACTGGGTGTAGAGTGTTGTGTTCATTCCCTGAGGACTTTTCTCTCTTCAGTTGCTCCAAAATCAGATTCTCCCTTTCTCAGAGGGAAAATTAGGCCCTTACATTTTTCTTCCTCCCACCCAGCTTTTCCCAGCCCCTGCCAGTTCCCTCCCATCACTCCATCACATCAGCACCTGTGCCCACCACCCATCGGGCAGGTAGTGAAAGGGCCCCAAGACTAAAGGACAAGATGCAAGAGGGTATCCAGTGCCCTCCCTTCCTCTCAGGCCTGACCAGTCCTGTCAGAGTGAGAGGCTTCCACAAATAGAGGCCCTGACCCTTGCCCTCAGTACCCAGGCCCTCCTCACCTGCAGAGGAACCTGCACACTAGGGCAGACCCTGTCCACCGCTGGCTGTGCCCTCTATCTGCGGCTCAGCATTCCTCCCCTCCCAGCCCAGAGCTGGCACCTCTTAACTGGGGACCCCATCAAGAAGCCTGAGGGTGCCCAGCAGGCTCAGCATGGAAAGACGTGGCTGCCACAGGATTAGCACCTGACCCTGGGACCCCCAGCTTGCTTCAGGAGGCCTGGCGTCCTCTGACCCTCAGCACCCACCCAGGCCTGTGACCTGCTCTTGAGTCACTGCTGCTCCTGCCTGGTCCACTTACCCCTGGAAACGCAGCTCCACCCAGGGCTGCTGCTTGGTGAGGCCGCGAGGCCTTCCTGCTCTGTCCCTAGCAGGGATTCCACCCAGGACACTGCCCTTGCAACCCACAAGGGATTTTCTCCATGTAGAGTAGGGGGAACCCCTTAGCTTGAGGCGGCCTCTGTCCACCCTCTGCACCTGGGAACTGCCACTGCCACAGCCACCATCTCCCACACAGACCCTCCTGGAGAGGGAACTCCAAATTTGAGTTCCTGTTTCATTTAGTATGCTTTACAACATCAGTATTAGAGGAAATTCTATCAAGATCATAGGGCTGAAATTATGAACATCTTTATGGGACATCAACATTGAAAGCAGGAATTTTGGGGAATTGGCACATGACTTTCATACCCTTTTCCTGGCCAAAGCCCCAATGACCTGTGAGGAAACCAATCATGCTCACAGAAAACCAGAACTGACAATCCCTCTACAGGAGACACCGCAGGTGAGAGCAGGAGCCACCACACACCTGCTCTGCCCCTGCTGCGGGTGCCTCCTGGACGGGGCCCTCTTGCTGCAGGGCACGGGAGGAGCAAACAGAGCAATTAGGTGAACAATGAGAAACCACCAACACAGAAGTGGGGAAACGACAGAAAGACCCAGGTCTCCTGGACGCCCCAGGTCTCACTGTCCCCTGCACTGCCTCTGTCTTTGCAGAAACACACAACTTCCTGCTTTCTCTTTTCGTCTCCTGTCAAACAACCTGACTGTGGGGGAAATGATCCTGACCGTCCCTTACTCCAAACTTACCAGTCAGTGACCACCTTGAGAAAGGGAAATGGCCTCCGGGAGGGCAAGGTCAGGTCACAGAGCACAGAACAAAGCCCCAGAAACATGGTCCCTGGGGACTATGTCCCTCAGGGACTGGAGAAGAAAACACTTGGAGGTAGTTTGAGAACAGGGACCGCAGCTGCCCTGATGAGGGGCTGGGCCCCGCTTCTCAAATGGCCCACGGACATCTGATTATTTACTCATGTATATCATCTGCATGGAAACTCAGGGAGGCCAGGTGGTGGGAACTTGGAAAGAGCAGTGCCTCGAGTGACACAGAGGACATGACAGCTCCCCGAGGCAGCTCCTCGAGGAGGCACATGAGGAGCTGTAAAGTGGACAGAGATGGCCTTGTGCGACCAGGACCCTCCTTGTTACAAGAGGGCCTCCAAGGGTCTGCACAGGCAGGGCCCCAAGTCCGGGCCTCATATATCTTTTCCTTGGTGTCTCCCCGACCAAATGGCTGGAAAAACAGGGTAGAGGGATGCAGAGAGGAAGGGACTAGGGGCACCACCTCCCCTCGGATTCCTCTCCAGTTTCTAGCCCTCCCCAGGTGACAGCTGCCTTTACTATTTGCTCCCTCTGAGGCTGTGATCACCCAGGCCCTCAGCACTCTGCATGTGATTCCCAACTCACCCCACCTGGACGCGCCCTAGTGAGTCCGAGAGACAGAGAGACCGGGATGAGGACAGAGCAGGCACCATCCCTGCTGCCCAACCCTCACCTGCAGCAGGAAGAGGCCACAGCTAGACATTCGAGGGCCTTCCCCGGCCCTAACTTGGGAGGGATTTAGGGGTGTAGATGGAGATATGGCTCCCGTTCCCCTCCCAAATACCCCAACTTCCAACACCTGTTCCAGAAGCCTGGTCACCTACATGCCTATCTGTGCAGGAGCAATGAGGGGACCCTAGTGCCCAGACAGGAGCCCTCCCATCTCCAGCCACTGCCCTCTTTTCTCACCTGGACCCTCTGCAGGTGATGTTCTCTTCTTCTTGCAGTGACGGATGTAGTAATGAATAACAAGAGCAACAATAATAAGAGTAATAATAATAATAACACCAGCAATAATAACATCAATAATAGCAGAAACAGGAGCAGCAGCAGCAGGAACATGTGGACTGGCTGGCTGTTGAATCTCAAGCACCACCACCTTCCCTGAAAAAAGGCACTTGTTATACACTGGGCAGAGACCCACAGCTGACCCTCTCTAGGGTCACCGTAGGCTCACCATGGGGCACAGGGTGAGTGCTGAGATTACCACTGTGTTCCATGTAGCAGGTGAACCTCTGCTCCTCTCCTTGGCGAATCCTGATGGTCACCCAGGTCTGGTAGGTTCCATTCCCATCAGGCAGGACACCCTCCGACTGCTGGGCATCGTGGCTCAAAGATACCCCATCCTGATGCCAGGTCAGTGTGATATTTGGGGGACAGAAGCCGGAAGCCCAGCATGTCACATTGATGTTGCCATCTGAATCCTCACTGCGGGTGACATTCACCATGGGTGGCACTGGAGAAGAAAGCGCAGAGTCGGTGAAGCCCTGCTCCCCTCTAAGGGAGATGCAGGGAACAGGGCTGGTCCTCTCCACTGTTCCCACTCTGGCTGAAGCACTCACAGACCCCGGACCTTCTGTAAGTCTGTCCTCACCCTGGGGCCCAATTCCTCTAGGGCTGGCAAGAGGATGGGCCTCGGGACTGTGGCCTGAAGCTCTGGGATCCCCACAATGATGCTGAGGAGGGGGATGTTAGGGGTGGTCTCCTGGGTCTGGGGCCAGGAGGGAGGAAACTCTTTGGGATGGGCAGGCTGGGAGGCAGATGGGGCAGCCCTGTCCCTTAGGGCTTCCTCTCCTGCCTGACACCCACCCCAGGCTCAGGATTCTGTCGGATGACCCCCTGCTTTCCCAGATTCCAACACTGGATGGTTCAGTCCCAGACCCACTGTCTTTATCCACTGGCTCTGACAGGAGAGGAAAATCAGGACACAATATGTCAACAGGAAACGCCTGCATCCATAGCACTGGGCAGGTTTCCCTGGTCAGAGCTGGGGGGTGAGGCAACTCTAGCAGAACCATGGGGAGAGGAGAGCCCCTGCCCAGGGTCGGTACCTGTTCTCCCGACGCACACCAGGGATTCCAGATATCCCTGCAGTTTCCACAGGCAGTCTGCCCGCACAACGCCAGCTTTCTTTGCCTTTTCGTCCAAGACATTCGTGATGTTTACAGACAAGATCTGAGCTCCTGAGGACTCAGGCACTGTCCATTCCTGAGTGTCCAGGTTTTGGGAGAGGAAGAGCTCCCCATCATAGTAGAAATGCCGGAAGCTCTTGGTGCTGTTGTCTTCATGGATCTCACAGCGTCTAATCTCCTGGAGGGAATGCAAGGCTGCCCCCACCCAGCAGTGACTTCTCCATTCCTGAACCCCTCACCTTCCCACCCAAGTGAGGAACTCAGTCCAGCGGGGACCCTTCCCTTGCCCTCCTCCGCCCAGCCTCCCTGTGCTGGCTGAGTGCTGACTCACCTCCTTGGTGAGCTCCACTGACCCCCATTCCTCACCCCCAGCCCCAGCCAGATCCAGTGGGAAGAGACAGGTCGCTGCTCTCTGCCCTAACTTTTCTGGAAAAGGCCTCTCCCGTCACTCTTGCCCCTGCCCACTCTCACCTCCTTTCTTCCTCTTGATATGAGGCAGGGTCATCTTGAGGTTCTTCTTATTCTCTTTCAAGTCCTCGATCTCTGTGTGCCAGGGCTCAGCTCTCCGGACTGCTTCTGCCCACTGTCCCTGCGGCTCTGCCGGGCATTTCTGCCTGTTACAGAGCAGGAAGAGCTGACCATCCAGATATCCCTCAGCGAGAAACCCTGACTGAGGAGGTCCATCCCAGGACAGCACTGTGAAATTATAATGAAGACTGTGGGGCTCTGGGGAAGAGAAAATCACAGATGAAACTTCTTCCTGGAAGTAACTTCACATGATGCTTAACACACAGGTCTGCTGTCCTGACCTTCCTGAGGAGACAGGAAATGTACACGGGCAATGGGACAAGAATGAGCATTTCATATACAAGGAAAACTGGGAAGCTGGGAGGACAGAGGAGGGGACTGAGGAATGGAAGAAGGGGGAATGGAGATGGCAAACTTGTAGGCCAGGTGCCAGGGCTGGGTGGCCAAAGGCCCCCTAAGGGTATAGGGGCCACGGGGAGATGCTCTTCTACAGGGGTAATGGAGAAACATGAAGGCAGTGGTGGAAGGAAGGTCTTGCCAGAGGGGAGGTGGGAAATGGGAAGAAACTCAGGCGAATAGCAACCCATGTCCAGTGTGGCCGTGGTGCACAGGTGACAGTGAGATGGAGGCAAGGGGAGCTGCTTCGAGAAAAGACTCATCATGGGCATGGTGAGGGCAAGGGAGGGGGCGGTTATGAGGCGCAAGGGGCAGGAAGGTTGTAGCCCCAGAGAAGTTTATAGTGGGGTCAGTATCCCAGAGGGAAGCAATGGTGTGGGCTTGGGTCCCAGTGGAAGAGTGGCATGACAGCATGACAAGGCCCCAGGACAGCAAGTGCATGTACCCGCTAGTGTCCACCGGGGTGGGCAGGTGGCAGGTTCTCAAAGAGTCAGTCCACATTTCAGTAAATAGTGCTGGGGGAACTGCATGTTCAAATAAAATAAAATAGCACCTTTAATTTGCACTCTATACAAAAATTAACTCAAAATGAACAAAAGACCTAAACTCTAAACTCAAGAACTAAAACTTAAAAATTTCTTAGAAAAAAACATTGGGGTCAGTTGGGAGAAAATAGGGGAGGGACGGTGGGGGGTAGGGAGTTGGAGAGAGATAGCAAGGGGAGAGATGCCAGATGTAGGTGATGGGGAGGAATGCAGCAAATCACACTGACACGTGTGTACCTATGCAACAATCTTGCATGTTCTTCACATGTACCCCAAAACCTAAAATGCAATAACACAAATAAATTAATTAAAAAAATAAAATAAAATAAATGGCAAAAAAAAAGAAGAAAACATTGGGGATAATCTTCATGACACAGGATTTGACAGAGCTTTCGTGGATGTGACACCAAAGCACAGACAGAATAGAAAGAACTGACAAACTGGTCTCATGAAAATTAAAACATCTGTGCATCAAAGGGCCCGATTAGAGGGAAAAAGCAATCAATGCCTGAAATGAAATAAATATGCAAATCATATATCTGATAAGAGATTAGTTTCCAGAATACGTAAAGAAGTCTGACAAAAACAACAAAACAGTCAACCCACTCAAAAATGGGCAAAGTAGCCATGAGAAGCTATGTGGGGGAAAAATGGGCAAAAGTCTTGAATGGCCAATTCTTCAAAGAAAATATGCAAATGATCAATAAACACATGAAAAGATGCTCAATATCAGTAGTCATTAGGAAAATGCAAATCAAAACCACAATCATATACTGCTTCTGCACAGCAAAGGAAACAGGCTGGGTGCGGTGGCTCATCCTGTAATCCTAGCACTTTGGGAGGCTGAGGCGGGTGGATTGCCTGAGTTCAGGAGTTAAAGACCAGGTGGGCAACACGGTTTCATATTTACTAAAAATACAAAAATTAGCCAGGCATGGTGGTGTGCCACTGTAGTCCCAGCTACTCAGGAGCCTGAGGCAGGAGAATTGCTTGAACTTGGGAGGTGGAGGTTGCAGTGAGCTGACATTGCACCACTGCACTCCAGCCTGGGCCACAGAGAAAGACTCTGTCTCCCAAAAAAAGAGAAAAGACAAAAAGAAAGAAAAAACCCTCCTGCACAGCAAAGAAAACAACAAACAAAGTGAAGAGATCATTCAAGAATGGGAGAAAATATTTTCAAACTATTCATCTTACAAAGGATTAGTAACTGAAACATATAAGGAGCTCAAACAACTCTATAGGAAAAAAAAAAAATCCGAGAATCCAATTTAAAAACGAGCAAAAGATCGGAATAGTAATTTCTCAAAAGGAATACTTACAAATGGCAAGCAGGTATATGAACAGGTGCTCAGCATCACTGGTCTTCAAATAAATGCATCGAAACTACCATGAGATGTCATCCCACCCCAGATAAAATGGCTGTTATCCAGAAGACAGGCAATGAGGAATGCGGCAAGGATGTAGCAAAAGAGAACCCTTGTACACTGTTGGTGGGAATGTAAACTAGTACACCACTATGGGAAGCTAGGTGGAGGTTCCCAAAACTAAACTAAAAACATAACAGAACTGTCATATGCTGCAGCACTCCCACTGTTAGGCATATACCTCAAAGAAAGCAAATTGGCATGTTAAAGAGCCATCTACTTTTCCATGTTTATTGAGGCACTATTCAAAATAGCCAAGATCTGCAAGCAACCTAAGTGTCCATCAACACACGAATGGATAAAGAAAATGTGGCTCACATGTGTATGTGGAGTACTATTCAGCCGTCCAGTCATTTGAAAAGAACTGGAGGTCATTATGTTAAGTGAAATAAGCCAGGAACAGACACACTAACTTTGTGTGCTTTCTTCTTTGCAGCAGCCAAAAGTGAAAACAACTGAACTCATGGGGACAGGGAATGGAATGATGACTACCAGACGCTGAGAAGGGTAGTGGGGAGTGCAGAGTGGGATGGTTAATGGTTACAAAAATATAGTTAGAATGAATAAGATCTTGTAGATAGCACAGCAGGGTAAGTCAGCAATAATTTACTGTACATGTAAAAATAACTAAAAGAGCATAATGGGATCGTTTGTTGCACAAAGAAAGGATAAATGCTTGTTGTGATAGATACCCCATTTACCCTAATGTAATTATCATGTATTGTATGCCTGTGTTAAACTATTCACGTACTCCATAAATATATACATATATGTGTACAACATACCCAAACAAAAGTTAAAAATTAAAACAAAAGCAAGGGGTGGGGGTGCTGGCCAGAGACAGAAAACCAAGGTAAACGGGGAGACCACCAGCCTGAGGAAGGGTCTGCCAAAAGTAGTGCTGGAGGCGGAACAGTCACCCCAAGAGCCAAACAAAGATTTTAGGTATGTGGTGTAGGGAGTGAGAGCCCACTGGGGTCAAGGAACCAAAAGAAAAGAATGAAGGTCAAGGAACAGCTGGACCAACAGCCTGTTTTAGGTCTGGGCTGGGTGGGGCGAGGGGAGATGGGCAGAGCAAGAACTGGAGGGCAGCGTGAGCATGGGGCAGGAGTGACTGTGGAGGAACTTGGGTTAGGGTGAGGACAGGAGGGGAGCGTGCTCTGTGGGGGGTGGGGTTTGGGAAAGATGAGAACTTGCTGAGGGCCCAAGGCAGGTGGGCAAGAGGTAGGAGCAACACAAGGTTCCCAGCTTGAGAGGGGCGGAGGGACCAGGGAGGGATCGTCCAGCACCTGTGGGCTGGAGGGTGGGGTCCTCCAGAGGGTGAGGCTGAGGATAAAGGAGAGGGGAAGGGGCCACCTTGAGGCAGGGCCCAGAGCAGCCACCTGCACTGGATGGGACATCTGCACTGCCCTGTGTCCTGCCTAAAACCCAACTGTCATTAGCACCAGGGCTCCCCCTGGGTGGTCTGGAGGGGAGTAGGATGGAGGGAAGACCCCTGGACAAAAGGCAACACCAGAAACTTAGGGTCAGGGACAGCTGGGAGTGGGAGGCATAAGGGCAGCACTGGGTGAAGGCTGCTTGTAGGAAAGGCCCATAAGGGAGGCAGGAGGGACCTGCTTTGGGTGGGGGAGGGTATGAGGGCAGAAGATACCCTAGAAGTCCATCGGAGGACTGCAGACAGGAAGGGGTAGCAGGGAGCTGGGAGGGCAACAGGACCCAGGGGGCCCTGAGATGGGCAGGGAGGAGGGGCAGGAAATCTGTTGTCCTTAGATCATTGGTCATTAGTAGGGGTGGGCTACGGAGAGGAGAGGACTCCCCCCACCGGCTGTGAACCACAGACTGCCGGGAGAGGACAGGGCTTCAGGGACCTGGGAGCAGCCCCCAGCACCGGTAGATGTGGATGCCTTAGGGGCCGAGCAGGCAGGGCTCTAAAATGCCATTCACAAGAGCAGCCCGCGAGTGGGGGGCGCCTCCCGGGACCCCAGGGGTCTCAGAAGGGATGGTTTGTCCGAAAAGTGAGAGGAGGTGGAGGTGAGGCAAGGAGAGCAAGTGCAGGACAGGAAAATGCAGGGGCGGGTGATGCGCAGTCCTGAGGAGGACAGAAAAGAGACGGGAAAGCAGGGCTGAGGTGTGGCGGCCATGGGCCGCGTCCAGCTCCCCGCACCCCCGACCCCGCACCTGAGCCCCGCCCAGACCGCACAGCGCTCACCGCGACCCACCGGGACCCCAGGAAACGTCCCGCCACTCCCGCTCCGCCCAGGCCCGCCAGGAACCCCACTCACCAGCGGCGGCTCCCAGGAGTGTCAAAGGGAAGGCGCCGGCCAGAAATAGCAGGATCCGACCCAGCCCCATGGCCAGACGTCGCCACCCTCTCAGAGGCTCAAGCCGTGGCCGGCAGAACCGGGGGCGGGAGAGTGCCCCGCGGAAATTTAGCCACCTGCCCCGCCCCTAGTGAGCTCTTATCCAATGAAACTGAGGCCCGGAACTTAGGGCCACTCACGAGAGGGAAGTGCGGGGCCGTGTTCATAAGAGAAATTTCGCACGGCTTGAGACCTGCTGAGCCGGCGAGACCTGGGGTCCTAAAAGTGGGAGAGCGCGGGAGCGCAGCTAAAAGCGGGAACCAGCTGCGAGTAGCTGAGGGTACAGCTCCAAACTGATGAGCACGGCCAGGGCCCTGCCGCCCTCCCTGCATCGCCATCACCCATCCCCGCACCCCCACCCTAAGGAGTGCGAGCCTCACCAAGCCCCTTTCGCCTGTCGCCCCATCAGGCCGGCTCTCACTGGCTTGTTCCTTCCAGGAGAGACAACGCCTAGTTATTCTTCCAACACACTTCTTGAGCCGCGCACAGCGTTACCGGCAATGAGAGCAGTGAGCAGATTTGCAGACTTGTTTCCAGGTCTCAGCCACCTCTGCCTCTCAGAAGCACCTGCCCCTTGAGAACCGCTCAGACGACAAACTCTCTTAGACGTTTCAGCTTTAGAATCACCTTCTCCTCCCTTCGACTCGAACCCAGGTCCCCTTTCGCCCCCTAATATCCTCTAAGTGCCTGAGGTCTCGAGGGGCAGCCTCTCTATTCAGTCCCTGGCTGATCACAGGCCAAGGATGCGACTCCCCATGGTTCACTACAACACCAAGCTCTCTCCAGACTCCCTTTTCCAGCCTGTCTTAGGACATCTGCACCTCCAGGACCATAGTGCCCTCCAATGTGACAGATCCACAAGGACACTCTACACGTCTCCCACCACATCACTCCGTTTCTCTTAAGAACGTCACCATCCTTGGTCCCTTCTGATTTCCTCTTTCCCCTTCATCTCCAGGAGTCAAAGTCAGCTCCTCCAACCCTATTTCAATTCCACAGCCACTACCTTAGTCTAGGCTTTTCCCTCCCTTCAGCCTAGATTACTGCTCCGGCTTCCTAAACACTGTGCCTGCCCCAGTTGTAACCAGAGTGCTCCAAGCCAGTATAGCGCCACATCCGCTGAATGTCACACATTCCACTCTACCATGGAAACCACAGCTGCCAAAACCTGTTGTATGGCACCGCCCCCATTTCTCTGGGGACATCTCCCCAGGGTTGCAGTAAAAGTGGGCTCTGGGATCTCCTCACCCTATCCCCCAGAATGCCACTGCCTAAGCCGCGTCCCTCTTCCAGGTCACTGTCACCTCTGCCTTAGAGCCCATCAGACCACACTGTATCCTTAAAATCTTCCCAGTGAGGCTGGTCTGACTGTAGTGGTGTTTACAACGAATTGATCACAACCAGTTATGGATGTCTTTGTTTCTTAGTCACTCCCACTAATCAACTTTAATCGTCGCACTAACGATAGCAAGAAAAGTTTTTCAAGCAGACGGTTGTGATGGTGGCACAACCTTGTGATTTGCTAAAAGCCACTGAGCTGTACATTGTAAAAGGATAAATTATGTGGCATACGAATTCTCAATTCTCAATAATAATAATGCTGTCTGAAAAGCCTCTTTCTACTAAGAGAATTGCCTTGGCCCCAGCGCACATCTCTTAGTCTTTCAGACATTTAGCCAGTGGTCTTCAAAAAAGCCACTGTATAGAATCACATGGAGAGTTTTTAATATCCATGTTTCCAGGCCACAGTTCAAACCAGTTAAATCAGTAAACCCAGGCTGGATCTAAACCTTGGTTGGACCTAAACCTTAGTATCTTTTAAAGTTCCCTAGGTGATTCCAATGTGTAGTCAAGCTTTGGAACTCCTAATCTAGACCCTGGTTTCAACCTTCCTCATGGTACAGATGGTGCCCTGTGTGGAATCTTTTTTTCTTTTCTGTTTTCTTTTTAAGACAAGAGCCTTGCTCTGTCACCCAGGTGGATTGCAGTGGCATGACTATAGCTCACTGCAGCTTCCAATGCCTGGGCTCAAGCAATCCTCCCACCACAGCCTTCCGAGTAGCTGGGACTACAGGCGAGCGCCAGCACACCCAGCTGTCATCTGCCATCTTCTACCCTCCCCTATTAGACTATGAACCCTCCAGGATCAGGAACTGTGTCCATTTCCTCTTTGTCAGCCTCACAAACATCTTTTTAAGTTGAACTATACCTGTCATTACTATTACCCTATGATCCCTAGCCTACACTTTTCTGTGGATGAAAATGTAATGTATTTAAGAATTTTAACAATTTCTCAGTTTTCCCATCCACATTCACTAGTAATTTATTTTGATCCTCATAATTTATCGAGTAAAGCTGGGACTGGGGTCCTGTCTCCACCTTAGGGAGACTATTTTCACTGCTAAAGATCATAAGCCTAGTGAGAGGCAGAGAGGGAGATGGACCCAGTTTTCCTGATGCAGGTCCCAAGTCCTTCCCTCCTCGGTGTCTACCCTCCCTCCAGGACTTCCTCCGTGTGCCAGCTCCAGCATAGGGTCTCATTCAGCTCACCCCCCAAAAGACTTTTCACAGTCAATAACAATAATAAATATGCAAGGTTTGTTCCAAGGCATTCAGAAGTGGTTGCGGGGAAACATAAAGCCAGTCCTCTCCAGGGCCAGGGGAGGCCGAGATGGTCTTGAGTTCCAGGTAAGTTTCTCAGCGGCCAGGCCTGGCATCTGCTCCCCCACCACGCCTCCCAGGTCTTCTGTCCACCTCTAGTCCCCTCCACCCCACCTCCAGACCCTTCTGCTCTGCCCCATCACCTACGTTTTCTCCCTTAGCACCCGGCTTAGATCCCTGGACTCACGAGCACGGAGGCGACTTCCTCCTCGCCGACTTTACGCGCCACGGCGGCTGAAGAAAGAGAAACGGAGAAAGAGAAACCGTTAAAGAGAGAGGTCCGGAAAAGAAAGAGAAACGGCCCAGGGTGGTGGCTCACAAAACCCAGGGCGGGGCTGCGCCTGGAGCCCGCAGGCGTTTCGAATATTTCGGCCCAGAGTTCACTGCTAGAACCGCGATCACCTTTCGCCCCGCCCCAGTCTACGGAGAATGACAAATATTTACTAATATGGAAGGGAATAGGCCCGGCGTAGCGGCTCACACCTGTAATTTCAATTCTTTGGGAGGTCGAGGCGGGCGGATCATGAAGTCAGGGGTTCGAGACCACTCTGGCCAACATGGTGAACCCTCATCTTTACTAAAAAGACGCAAATTAGCCTGCGGTTGTGGCGGGAGCCTGTAGTGCCAGCTAGGCGGGAGGCTGAGGCAGGAGAATCACTTGAATCTGGGAGGCGGAGGTTGCAGTGGGACGAGATCGTGCCACTGCATTCCATTGTGGGCTACAGAGCAAGACTCTGTCAAAAAACAACAAAGAAAAAAAAAAAGAAAGCAAAGAAAGAAAGAAAAGAAATAACGGAGCTCTCTGCTGGGGAGGGCCGAGCCGTTAGGCTTCTGGTCTCTAGCTTTGGGGCACTCACACCAGTCGCTGTAAAATGCAGACTCCGAAGCAGGAATTCCGAGTCCGGGGTGGAGCCGATCTGGAATCTCACTCGCTTGAAGCAGCAGCGCGGTGGATTCGGATCCGGGTCAGTAGGGAAATGCGACTCAGACGTTTCCACCGGCCGCCCACGGAATCTACAATCCGAAAACGCTTCCTGCTGCTCTGTCACCCCAGGAAGGCAGCGCCCGCCTCTGGGCTGTTCTGATGGAAACGGGCTCCCCCGCTCGCCGGAAAACCCACAACAAAGGGGCCAGGAAAAAGCCCCTCAGGGTCTCGCCACTTCAGTGAGGATCCGAATTTACACCCTCCATCAAAGACTGCAGTGACCTTTACTGAAATGATACAAGACCCGCGGGGCCCAGGGCGCTCGGCTCACAGAATGCGGAGACAGCGCCGCCTCGCGTCCCTTCCCTGACCTGCCCAGGCGGACGCGCTGACGAGTGTTGGCTTCGAGGCTGGAATACACCGAGTTCAAGGGCAGAGAGTGAAAAAAGAAGTGAAGGATGGAGGGGTGTGTTGAAGAAAGGAGGGAAGAGATAGGAAGAAAAGGGGAGAGAAGAAGTAAAAAGGAGAGATACAATTTAAAACACATAGTTTTATTATGTCTTTTATTTTTGCTCTTTGTCTAGTTCTACTTATGAACATTTTTACCGTAGCTTTCTCTGAGTCTGTAAATACACGGCTATGATTGTTATTTCAGAGCCTGCGAGGGTGAGTGGCAGACAGCATGACCCTCTTCCTCCAGATGTGTCAGGGTGTGTCTCCTGGGCCCAAGAACAGGGCTTTTGTTTTGTTTTGTTTTACATAAGCAAAGTACAAATCTCAAAGAGGGTAATATTTTTATTTTTGTTTTTTTGAGACAGAGTCTCACTCTGTTGTCCAGGCTGAAGTGCAATGGGGTGATCTCAGCTCACTGCAACCTCCGCCTCCCGGGTACAAGCAATTCTCCTGCCTCAGCCTCCCGAGTAGCTGGGATTACAGGCTCCCGCCACCACACTCGGCTAATTTTTGTATTTTTAGTAGAGACGAGGTTTCACCATGTTGGCCAAGCTGGTCTGGAACTCCAGACCTCGTGATCCTCCCGCGTCGGCCTCCCAAAGTGCTGGGATTACAGGCATCAGCCACCGCCCCTGGCCAGAGGATAATATTTCCAAATCATCTTATTAGGACATACTTTGCATACAATAAACTGCATCTATTTAAAATGTTCAATTTGTTGAATTTTAGCTGTTGTGCACACCCACATCTGCACTACCACAGTGAAGATAAAGAACATTTATTTTTTTATTTTTGAGATAGAGTCTTGGTCTGTCGCCAGGCTGGAGTACAGTGGCGCAATCTCGGCTCACTGCAACCTCTGCCTGCCCGGTTCAAGCGATTCCCCTGCCTCAGCCTCCCAAGTAGCTGGGATTATAAACGCGCATCACCACGCTCGGCTAATTTTTTTTTTTTTTTTTGTATTTTAG